TCATCATTACTTTACTGATCGTGTTCCAGTCAAAATTCAGCATTAAACACCTAAATCCTGCAAATATGAATCGTAGAAATAAAATCGTTGACTTGTATCATAATCCAATTATTCCTGGGAGTTATTCAGGTTTATCAGGTTTTTTGAAAAATAACTCTTCGTTCACTCCAGCAATAGTTAAACATTCACTTGAAAATATTGATACTTTGACTCTACACAAGCCAGCTCGAAAAAAAGGTCCAAGACGAAGGGTATATTGCCCTGGAATTGATAAGCAGTGGCATGTTGATTTAATTGATTTACGTAAATATAGTACAGAAAACGATAACAAGCAATGGTTGTTAACAATTATAGACTGTTTTAGTAAGTATGGTTGGTGTGTTGCTTTGACTGATAAACGATCACAAACGGTTTCAAATGCGTTCAAAGAAATCGTTATTAAATCACAGAGAACCCCTAACCATTGTCAAATTGATCTCGGAAAAGAATTTATTGGGAATCATTTTCAGGAAATGGCTAAAAAGCTCAAGATAAATGTCTTCTCCACATTTTCTGAGATAAAAAACTCCATATGTGAAAGGTTTAATAGAACAATTATGGAGAAAATTGCTAGATATTGGACCAAAAATAATACATACAGGTACGTTGATATCTTACCAGAAATTCTGAGGAATTACAATAATAGCTATCATCGAAGCATCAAGACATCCCCTGCTAAAGTCAACCCCCAAAATGAAGGTACAATTTACAAAAATTTATTTCCGGATCTTCTAGTAGGGAATTCAGTTCCCAAATTTGAAGTTAATGACATTTGTCGACTTAACACATACAAAGGGATATTTTCAAAAGGGTATCGTGAAAAGTGGACCCGAGAAAAATTTAGAGTAAAGCGAGTCAAAAATACAAACCCAACACACTATTTATTGGAAGCCTTGAATGGAGAAGAAATTTTAGGGGGGTTCTACGATTGGGAGCTGCAAAAAGTTTAACAACAATTTCAAAAACTAAGTCAATTACAACTGTCAGTTTTTAATTAAACACAAATTAAATTAACCATGTTCTATAATTCTGTATTCATTCTCGTCACATAATAGAATATTGCGGAATTCCATGCAACTCAATGAAATTGTAGTTGTTACAAGTGCAAATTTTTAAATAAATAAAAGAGGCAACAATTTATTCATTATTAATTCATTTCATTTATTACAATTTGTATTTACTTGCAAATATTTATTTCATCAATGTTACATATACCTGCATACCAATTAAAATACATATATGAAAACATGAAGAATATATGTATATACATATGTACATAGATTATGTATTATTATTATTTAAATTCCCGAATTTCCGTGTCTTATTAAGCAATGACCGTGAGCAAGTGAATTTATGTTGTTTAATAAGTACCTCTTATCATCAAATGAATGTAAACCTACTTTACACAATTCATATGAACCAACTTGGTGGTTCTTGCTACGAAAAGTATTCATCTTACAATATGATAAAATATCATTTAACACAGCATCAGTAAAATCCTCATGGGTTAATACTTTATTTATAACATATTTTTTAATCCCCTTAGCCCTCTTATGATGTTCTACAGATTGAGTATCAACATAATTAAACCCATCTTCTCCTGCCAATATAAGATAACGGCATAGCACTTCGAGTGAAAGCATTTTAGCCTTGGGGCAGGCATATGATTTTATTATACACCCCCGCTTTTCGTCTTGTAACTTTCCAGGTACTTTTTTGTTAATTGTCGAAAACAAAAAGTGATCAGTACAATAATTGCTCGTATCAAAAATCTCAAGATCTTCCAACATATCAGCATATAAATTTTTAGTAAAAATTTCATATAGATACCCGTCTGTATCTATATTCAACAAATTACATTTTGATGCATATTTCTTTCCCATATATTCATAATGAAATAGATAAACCAGGTACTTGGAAAGTTCCAAAATAGTCCAACCAAGAAAAATTGGTTTATCTAATTTCACTTTCTTTTTCTTCAAAAGAAACACTGATAAGTTATCATTCACTTCTCTGACATCAACAACAGCAGAGTCATCTGCTAGCCTTGAAAATTGTTCTGAACATGTGCAAATTCTTATGTCCATTTGATTACGGCAATTCTGACATGTTTTTCCAAACAAATGATTATTTAACCCCTTCCAATAATTAATCTCAAAATTTATTGAGGTTTTAGCTCTCATTAAACTGTTGAACTGCACGTAAGACTCTAAAATCTTACCCTGTTCTGCTGTAAGGACTTTCCCTATTCTTTTTACAACAAGACCGTTCTTCACATAAAATTGCAAGTTCTTTAATAAGCAAACGTAATTAGTTTTCGGTAGGAAAGATGCAACCAATTTTGGGGATTTTCCTAATTTTACTTCAGGGAATTTTCCCAACAACTGCTTTTGATATGGAGAAAGCATTTCCTCTGTAATTTCTAATTTATCTACGGCCAGTGGCAGGTCATTCTGGGTGTTTATGAAGTGAAGATTATCCGGATATAAAAGGTCCACTTCAACGGCATACCAATATTTTCCATCTGAATCAATTTTCATATAATTTTCACAGAAATTGGTATATGCGTCATCTTCCAACCACTGAAAATTTTTATATGGCATCTTATTCAGCATTCCCCATCCATACAAATTTACAAAATCGAAATATGCGATGTATGAGTCTGGTTCCGAACTATTGTATGTCTCAGGGATATAAATATTGTTTGCTTCTACGTATCTCTTTGATACTTGATTGATTCCACCTCGCAAATTCCTCCCCTCAAGAAATTCATACATCGTTTGATCAGATAAGAGTTCTATTGGTGTTTTTATATGTCGAAGCATTGCATCAAAAGTAAATCCCGGAGATGAATAATAATGTGTGGGGTCAAGCCTATGGTTGTCAATGCAAATGCGTCTAAAATATTCAAAAACTTCTGCTAGAATTATTCTATCAGTAAGGAGGTATAAATCAGAATATTCCCCCAAGTTTGAGAGTTCGAAGTGATTAAATATTTTCCATGCAAACTCATATTCATCATTGGTTATTCCTTCCTCTGTTAATTTATTATAAAAATGCTCAGAAGCAGGTAGTCCTTTTTCATTAAATTTTTGAAAACTACGTAATCGTAACAAAAAATCCCTTTTCGGGAAATTAAAGGAATACTTTCTTCCTTGAAAAACTGTGGGAGGATTCTAAGTGACTCTCTAGGAATCTCAGCAATTAAATTCGCTAGTGAGTTTGGAAGAAATTGGAAAGAATCAAGGAATTTTATTTGATTATTGATTGTGACGCTCATATAATGCTCAGAGTTTGTCGGCACAATTTTTACCTTCAACTTTCTCTTAACACCTTGTAAAATCAGGTGTGAATCATATCGGGTAAAGTTGTGCGTAAAACAAGGTATAGCCTTGTTCTTGTACTTAAGTTGTAAGTTTCAAAGGGAGTGACAAGCTCCAATGTATTCTCCTGTTAAATGGCAGTGGTGTCTGACCTTATATAAATCCCTTGTTTTGGTATTTGATAAGGATGTAAATTGATTATAGGATTCTATCAAAAATGGGTCCTCACAAACCCAACAGTGTGTGTGTGACTTTTCGAAAGAAGTTTTATTCTCCTCTGTATAAATCATTGGTATATCAATTCGTGTAATAGCATCTAAAACATCGTACAATTCAAATAAATGATTACTAAAATCTTCAATTGCATTTTCTCCTCTATATGTGCGTTCATGAATTGCTTTTCCAATGTGATTTAGAACTACAACGCAGTAGCTATTAACGCAGTAGTTGGCTCATGAATATTAACCAAAGTCGTTGAGCTTTGGTTTTTGGTAAAACCAGTGCTCGGATCAATTTTAACTTTCTTAGGGAAAGCCTCCAAGTCGGCATAAATTACAAATGGGGATTTCATCATTGCATATTGCTTTGTAAATATTAGCGTCTCACCATCTATAGGCATCTCAACTTGAGTAGTGACCTTATTCCCACAATTAATTTGGTGAGTATCCCTAATCTCTACACTACCGAACCCTTTTAAGCACTTAAAACAGAAATGTTTAGCAGTTGACCCCATCTTACCTAATAAATTCGACAAATCTCTTATATAAACATAGTGATTTTTGGTACCTTGTGTAATGAGTAGCATGTTTACATGTGTAGATTTTACCTCCTGCGTAGGCAGGAACAATAGACCTATCCTCCGTAAATCTAAAAATATTTATAGAGATAGTGTTGTTTTTCTCAAATAATGGAATATCATACAACCCTACTGGGAAACTTATCCCATTAAAATTAAAATATCGAATGTACTGGTAAAATGTAGAAATCTTTCGCAAGTGTTTTCCTTTGATTTCATTAGTTTTTTGTATATGTAAATGCAAGGCGCAGCACCAAAGGAAGCACAATTCATCTTGCTCATTCCTAATATTGATGAGCCCGTTTTTCCTAACCAGACAAGCTGGTAATGGTAGATAAGACCCTCCCACGTCTTTTATGAACGGAGTGTGTTTTATTAATTTCACCCTAACTGCAATAACTTTTTGAAATATCCATCCCGAGCCATTAAGGCAGTGCCTTATTAACTTTTCTATGATATCATTTATACAGTCCCAAATTGTTGAACCTAAATGGTGATTAGAAAATGATGTTACAAAATCTGAGCAAAAAGATGCTTTTGACCGATCAACAATTTCATGAATTTCTACTTTGATGAGTTTACAATCAATGATGATCTTAAATCTTATCCCCTCATTTAGAGGTATGCATATGCCCAATAATTTTTTTAAGTGAGGGTAAAAGTATGCAACACATTTATCAAAATCGTACTTCCCTTCATTCATCCTGGGCTTCCTCTCGAACATTAGTTGCTGTCCATTAAATTGGTAGGATGTCAGTTGGAATGGCGAAGAAAAAATATGCTCCTAGTGAGAAAACAAAAAAAGTTGTATTTTTTATAGATTTTATTATTTTCACATTTTTTAAAAGCATTTTTAACAATCATAAGAAGTATTATTGTATTTATTGTTATTGTTATTATTACTATAATGTTTGGTAAGCTACAACAGAGTGACTACAACAGCAAGATTAATAGTTACTTCTTTGTCCCTACTTTAAGAAGTTGAGTTGCAAATTCTAGGTATGAAGCGTCTACATCCTTCCCCAATAAAAGTGCTTGCATTTCTGCAGCTGCATGACAATAAATCACATCGAATACCGTGATTAAACTACCCCGGAAAGAGACTGCATCATTCTTACTTTTGCTAAATTTCTTTTTCAAATGAACGTACATCTCCCCGTTGTATACATTAAAATCTAGTTGGATGTCCTTATTAACAGTATATCTTGCATTTTGCCCAACACGCATGAAGCCTACCTTAATGCCGTCCTTGTCGTGAATTGTTTCTCCGAAAGCCTCTTTTTCCTTAAAATTCTGGAGTAGTTTTGCCACTTGCATGGCATCTTTGGGGTCCTCTGCCTCAGGTAGATCCTCTTCGTTTTTGTCAGCCTGACTCGAGTTACCACAAAAGTCCTTTAGCCTCTGTAGAAAATCAGGGGGAGGGGAATTGCTTGATTCCTCTGTTGTTGAGGACATGGCGGATGGGGACTCCGTGGGGAAGAGTGCGGAGAACCACTCTTGGCGGACGTCGGCAGGAAGTTTCAGCAAATTCAGATCTGGAAAGAGTAAATAGAAATTGAAAATTAATAATAGGAAGAAATCATAATTAATAATTCTGCAAATTATTAATTTGTTTGAGGAATTTTTAATAAACTTACTCGGATCTTTGCTGCCGTCTTTTCCCCCCTGAGTGGCCTTTTTGTTAGGAGGTCCAGCTAAAAATATCGAAAAATTTTAGTACGGGGGTATAAATCCATATTCATCTACATCTACGAACGAATCTTTATTTATTGTATCTGTATGTATGTAAGATACTCTCACCGATTGATGGGGTAGCCTTCCTTCCTTTTCCAGACATCTTTGATTTCTTTATAGTGGTTCCTTGAAAATGTTGATCTGAAGAGTTTTGGGGGTTGAATGGTTCCACAGTTGTTACTGACCGGCTTTTATACCAATTTTCAACTTCTCACAAGTATGTGAGGTAGGTAAAATGAAAATGCAAGTAATAATTGTGTAACATGATTACTATTATATTTATTCCTGTATGTTATTAATAAGTATTAATATCAGTTATTTTTAATAGTTATATTTAAAATTACTACTGAACGGTCAATACTGTAGAGTATGCAACTTTTGACAGTGATTGACGGCCTGTGCCCTGGCTGGGTCAACCTCTGTTTATGAATGAACTGTATGAATGGCTTATGACAAAACTAAATGTATGAAAATGCAAAATATGCATGTTTTGACATTGATTGACAGTTCTTACCAGTTGATACATAATCAGTGTGAATTGGTTTAAAGCTAGTTATGAAGAGTGTCAACAGGAGAATAACATAAATTATAAACTGTGATTAGTATGTATATTGTGACAGTCTTTGGCAACTTGAGTCTTAACTAAAATGTTAATTAGTAACTGGATGAACGAATGATGAGTTAAACCCTTGGAATTATAACATTGTTGCTGAATATGCGATTTTTGACGTTAATTGATTATGTTATATTTGATAGTTGGTTTATAATTTTATGTATCAGATATGGTATATTCAGAACATTCGTTGGTATTATTCCCCAATTAATGAGATCATATTGCAAGCAATTTTTCGTATAAATTGAAGTTAATTTTCAGTAGAAAATCATTCCAACCACAGCTATCATGGCTCAAACACAAATCTCCACAACTCAAGATAAAAAGAGGAAGAAGCCTCTAATCGTAAGGTTCAACGAGAAATTCATGGATGAAGATTCCGATTCACAGGGACTGGTAGGACCATTCCTACCTGCGATCGGGACGAAACACTCTGTGGGGCTCGACATAAGGAGGTAAACAAATATAGAAGTATATTAATGTTTTTATAGGAGGGATATTGAGTGCATCATAACTGTTGGTTATATAATTTATACCAATTTTATTTTTGAATTATTTATTTTTTTTTATTTTCAGCCCCGAAGAGTATATCCTTCCACCACACAGCAGCACGAGGATCAACACTTTCGTACGGGTTTCATTCCCCGTAAACCACTACTGTCGGATCGCAGACCGCTCGTCCATGGCGATCAGAGGACTGATGGTTGGTGGGGGAGTGGTGGACCAGGACTTTCAAGGAGATATCGAGGTAGTTATCCACAACCTGAGGTCTACCCACGCAATAATTGAGAGGAGGGAAGCCTTTGCCCAGCTCATCTTCGAGAGGTGCACCCCACCCTCTTCTATTCTATTTGTAAATTATAAGGTAATATGATAATAATTTTTAATTTTGTTATTAATTTTTGGGTATTGATCTTAATTTTAATAATTAATTAAAAATTTTTATCATATTACAGGAGGAACTCCTCGATCTAGAGACTGTCTCTAAGGAACGAGGGGAGAAAGGATTTGGATCAACGGGGCAGGGGGTTTAATTCTTGGTACATGGGGCCATATATATTTACCCGAATAAATGTCTTGCATTTTGAAACTATTTACCGTCAATAAATGATTACTTATAATAATGTTTCATTTTTTCAGTTTTGTCTACCTTTATTTTAACATGATGCATTCATTTAATAAGCACTCTCCATCATACACATATGATTACATATGAATACTTTTACATACTTGACAAGCATATTTTCAAACCATACTTCGAGAACATACATAGTCATTTATCCCATCAACAATCTCTTGCAATTTTTGGTAATCAAGGTACCATATTGCGCTCAGACTTCTCGGTCAGGCGACAGCCTGGCCGAGAAGTTTGAGTGCTATCTACTACTTGCGTATATGTAGTTATATGTATACGTACGTACATGGTACAGGAACATGTTTTTTTTAGAGTCTACTAGGTAGGGTTGCCGCGGGTGGCAAAAATGCTGCCCGTTACCCGACCCGTTACCCGCAGTCCAACTACCCGTGCGGGTAACGGGTACCCGCACGGGTACCCGTGCGGGTACCCGTTACCCGCTACCCGTTATGAGAATTAAGCTAAAACCCAACTAAGCTTCGGAATAAATTTGGTCTAATCAATTATTTGCTCATTTGGGTTGATATATAGTTTGAAATAATGTGAAGCAAGTAACGCATACCATAATTTGCTAGGTAGATGCCATTAGTTATTTCTATTTAATACCAAACCTTTTTCTTACAATGGAACCTTTTTGAAGCTACACCGGGTTTCTTAGCGGGCTGTATCAAAAATCAAGCCAGAAATTAGGAATTACATACACTTATCTTTCCAGTGAATGGCCCCTTTGAAGAAAACTATGGCGGGCGAGGCAGGTCAAAGTCCACCATGGTTTACGTCCAGTGAAGGAAAAAGAGAGAACATTTACTTAAAAATTGAACTTTGCTGCGACATTTTGCTTCAAAGTGACTAGTCAGCGAAAGATAAGAATCACGTGATTTCTAATTTTGACTTATCTTTTTGATAGAACTCGCTTAACAATCCTGGTGTAGCTTGAGAAAAGATTCCATTGGTAGTTTGATTTTTTGAAATTTTGATTTAAATTCAGTTTTTATTTTAAAAAATTGCCTCCAAATTTTGCCTTCAATCGTATCGACGGTTTTCACCCGAAAAATTAAGATATCGTCAGTGTTACATAAATACGCAGAAATACAAGCCAAATTAGTACCGATATTTAAGAAAGGGTGAATTCTGCTTGTGAAACAATAATTTCTCGGAATTATCTGAACGCAAAAAGTATTTGAGGCTGCCGTAGGCTTCTGTGGCTTCCGAAGAGACACGCTCGTTACAAACTCTAATTGCTGGCAAATGGCAAATTTTCAAATGCATAAATAATATACTGACTCTGTTGTTGGTAAATAGACTAACTTGATGCTACCTTTCTTTGTGAACTGATTTATGTCGAAAATTAAATAAAAACTTACCTACCCGTTACCCGTGCGGGTAGTTCTCACTACCCGCAGATAACGGGTACCCGCAAGAATCGTGCGGGTATGCGGGTAACGGGTACCCGACCCGTTACCCGCGGCGACCCTACTACTAGGACGCCAAATGATTTAAGATATTAATATGAAAGTGGGACTAGTATGACTGAAATATGTTTCTGCGGCAAACTCATATTCGGCTCCGTAGTGTACATACATACATCTGCACCAGACATGACATGGACGATTTTTAGCGGTGCCAAATACATCTTGCAGTTTTTGTGCCATCCTCAACACTACGTGTCATTTTCATGATTGTTTAACAAACAGTTTAAAATTTTTCCCGTAAAAATAACCATGACTCTATTTTGTGCGAAGCACCACCGTGATTTTAAGGTTGATTACTTATGTACACGTGTTTCCGCTAGAAATCTCAACTTTCATATAAGAGAAATTCACAACAGATTGGCGAACATGAAAATGGTGGGTCTCCATAATTAATTCCATACCTACGTCGATCATAAACAGGCCCCGATTTTGGGGCGGGCAACCCGGGCAGCTGCCCGGGGCGCCAAATCCCTGGGGGCGCGGGCAGGCGCCCGGGTTTACACTAGATGTAATTGAATTTTCCTGTTGTAAATTTTCAAAATCTTTTGGCTGGAGTTTTTATTTTTTCAAATTTGTACAACTCATTGCTGCAGTTCTGATGTGTCGATGCACCACTGCAATTTTTGAAACAGGAAGTTTCTAGCTTTTCACACTCTAAATAAAGATTAGTAAACCTACTCAAGGTTGAGTAAAGTAAAGGACGACACGATAATTGGGTAAAATTTAAATACTCCACGTTTGCGAAAAATTATCCAACCATTAAATAAATTTCACCCAATTGTCGTGTTAACCCCTATTTTGATCAAAATGCAAATTCTCTAAAACTTAAATTTAAAATAATATGCCTGACAATATATTTAGAGTCTACGCTGGGGAGCAAAATAAATTGTATGATATAAAACTGTTCTAAATATCTCGCATTGGTTGTATTGCATCTTGAGAGTTTGCATGATTGTGGCCCAAAAAACCTGCACCTGCATGGTTGTATGTACATAAATATATCATTCCGATTTTTTAGAAATTGCGAAGAGGACTATGCAGGTCCTTTATGTACAAGTAAAACTCAAATTTCCAGATTTATGTTTTTCACCGCAAAAAATTACCATCACCGTACTTTTGCATTTTTCACAAGGCGCTACTTTGAGCCCTTGATGCGAATTGTAAACTGTTTTCCAGCCGGAACCTCGATTTTTAAAATTGTCGAATTTTAGCGCGAATCCAAAAATTCGAAAACATGTTTTACCAGAATGACTTACCCGACTTATAAAAAATCATTTGCTTTCAAATTTGAAGTTTAGAATACGTTGCCAATATTTGAAATTCATTAAAATTATTAACGCGTTGTAATTTTCAAACAATATGTATTGCATGTGGGTTTTTAATAAATGAAGTAAGGCATTCTGAAGAGACATGTTTTCGAATTTTTTAATTTACACAAAAATTAGAAAATTTGCAGAATTAAAAAAACAGGTTTTGTCTAGAAAACAAGCTAAAACTCACGTTTCGCCCTCAAATTAGTGCATTGTGAAGAATGCAAAATGCAAAAAATACGGGGACGCTTTTATTTTTGTGGTGAACAAAATAAAATTGGTGCTATGGAGATCTGTTTTTTACACGTCAGTGACCCGCATTGTCTGTTTTTTGAAGGCATATTTCTAATTGCGTTATCGGTCTTCAATTTTAACGAATCACGAATTACGAATCACGAATTAGAATCACGAATAAATATGTAAAAGAACTGTCTAACAAGGTAAAATTAAATTTCACCTATTTAGTCGCCATTCAAATGTTTCGTATTGAATCGCTACTTGCTAAGATTTCTAAAGTTTCATTTTTTTTTAATTTAGACTAACAATTTTGAAGCGCTGTAACTTCTTGCCCCCCATTTACGTTTTTCTCGATTTTTTTGAATTTTGATATAACAGAAATACGTATTTATGTATCTAGTTACATACGCAAGTTGATGCGTAATTAACAAGATTCAAAGTAATTAACGGAATACAGAGAGTTATAATTTTGTATAGGCCCAGTTGACATCATTAATTTTGTGCCCGAAGTACACATCGGGAATTTTTTTGGCGTTTTCCACGTGTTCCTGATCCTTTTTTGATAAGTAACAAAGGCGTCGTTTCCAATAATTAAAAATTGTAAGGTCCATTTCATAGGTCACTTTCCTACACTCGCCATCCAAAAGTTTGCAAAATGCATAAACAAAATTAGGCACACTTTTCTTTAAAGTGTCGTCCTGAAGTTCCCATTTTGAAAAAACAAAAAAGGTGCATAAGTAGACGTAACTAATACATCTTTGTACAAAATAATTACAATTTCGAGTACTTTAACCACATTGATGAATAGTGGGTGGTGATTCTGACGGTGCAGAGTTGGAAAAAGTTTGTGGGTTCCCCCTATTTTCAATGTCATATCTTTAATTTTTGTCGCAAGACCTAAAAATTAAGTTTTTTATAAAGTAGGGATCGTTTTCTTTCCTGCCCAACTCATTTTGTGCTAAAAAATTATTTTTGTGAGAGCACGATCAATGTATGTCACACGCGTCTGATTTCTCAATTGTTGAGGGTGGAGCGTTTGTTGACTCTGCAAAGCTGAGATTTGTGTTTCTGGTTGATTTTTGGATATAATTGTTTGCATTAGGCCCAATTCTATCAGAAAGTTTCTGACAGAAACCATATTAATTGCATTGATAAATTATGTAGGTACTTTTTTAGGGGTCATTTTAGGTGTGCAAAGTCATTTAACTGTATGGTACACTTGGGGGTCAATTTTCGGACCCAGATTTCGAAATTTTAAAATGGAGTAAATTGAAACTTTGTTCGACTTGAATTATAGTTTTAAAATCGTTTACAACATTTTTAATTTGAGCCGCAGTTTTATATATATGGGCAAATTAGCTACTGTGCCTATACAAAATTATAACCCTCTGTATCCTGTTGTTTATAAAATTCCGAAAGCCCAACGGATTTTGTGTAACGAATCCATCGTGCTAGAATCCCATATCTCCACAAAAACTAGCAGGGAAAATAGTATAATTTTGCAGAACTCAACAAATTACAAAACTAAAGTCAAATATTAGTCCAAAATAAATTTTGTTTATAGTGATATTTGATCTAATTTATGTAGACGATTTTGAGTCAAACATAAGGATTAGTACAATTAACAAAAAATTTGCACATTTTGGCGTGTGTCTCGAAAATTTGCTATGCGCGCCCCAGATTACCTGTATTACGGAATAGTGATCTGCTCAATATTCCGCTAATTTTAAGCAATTATACATCAAATCTGTAGAAGCTCAAAAAGTTTGCTGTCTCATTGTATCTGTCCATTCTAATAAGATATGGTACGAATATGTTGAGCAAATATTTGATTGAGACAGTAGCCACATGCGAGCGCCGAAGGCGCGAGCGGGTTGGGGCGCCTAATTTCTTTGCCCAGGTAAGATTTTGGGCTAGATCGGGGCCTGATCATAAATCTAATTTTCTGAAAAAGCAACCTCGATATATGTAT